AAAAAAATTTGTTAGGGGTAGTTTCTAGAATTGCTGAAAAGCTTGAATACGTCACTAAGAAAGGCAGGACAAATGAATCGACAAAGAACGATTCATGTTTACCTTCAAAGTCTTGGGGTTGTTTCAAAAAAATAATGTCGAGATGTTGATTAATTTCAGATTTAAGGTGATGCCCTAACGGAGAGAACGGGACAATTCGATCTGTCAGTTCTGTATAGAAGTTTTAAAAATGTTAACAATTCTGCAGGTGATGTAGACAGTATACAAAACTTTGATCGCTTCTATTCCCAGTTTAAAAACTTTGGTAACCACCCTTTCGTCTGTTTACCTGGATAGAACAATAAATAAAACTGTCTCTGACATGGACTGAACCACCCAGACATATGTGGGTTTTACATTAAAAGCGTCTCGTCTGTTTATACAGAAGCCTTGATCAATACTGGTATTTTCGATTCAGAAATTACTTTCATCTACCACACGTGGGAATTCAATATAAGGCATTGGAAAGTTTAAATAAATTCTTCTGGACAAAGAGTGTGCAAACAAAAAAAAAGTTTCTTAAGTTGATAATTTAGCTTACTTTTAAAATGACAATATTTCAAAACTAAAACTCAGTGAACTGATGTAAACATCAACACTTCATAGCGTGTAAAACTGCAGCACACAGATACCATATTTTCGGGAACTGATTGACTGCATGGTTGTGACGCTAAAACACATATATCTTGGGTCCTAGTGATGAACTGGAACCAGTTTCACTAAAACACTTAAGTCTGTTCCCTGGCTTAGTTGACTACAATTTCCATGAGAGTGCTGTTACACTCCTCCTGATAGGTAAGATGTGCCCATGTGACCATGCAACCATGGTAATAAAGTTCTCGGCCAGGGTAGCTGACTTATTTTTTTTTTAAATTTTTTTTTGTAACCGGGGCCTCAACAAACAGTTAAAAAACCATTAAGAAAGACAGGGCAAATAACTTGAGAACGAAAGATTTATAATCATTCATGTCCGAGCGGTTGCTGTAAGTAGCCAGCAAATGGGTGGTGTTAAGTTCAAATTCAAGGTGATGCCGTTACAAAAAGAAAGGGTCAGCTTTCTAAACTCCAAATAGAAGTTCAGATGTGTGAATTATTCTGCCGTTGTAGTAAAAAGTAAACACAAGTTTACATTCATACGTGTAAAACTTAACATAAAGAGGATTTGTATTGTGAAGATGAGTCATCTGTTTTGACAATCCCCTTGAATAATACTGGTATTTTTGATCCAGAAATTACTTTGATCTGCTGTATACGGGAATGCAATACAGATTGAATGGAGAATGGTGACGGTGATGGTCTTTTAAGTATGTATTTATCAAGATCTATACGGTGAATCAACATGAATCCTTTATGTGAAATATAGACATGCAATCTTGAAACATGTGCAACACGTTTTGACCTATCTAGTATACTGAAATACAGGCGCAGATCCGTCCATTCAAATGCCGTTGCAGTGACGAAGCTCACGTGGCTTTTGAAAACTACAGACTTGACATTTAATATGGAATATTTCAGTTTTAAAGGTATACCTAGGTAAAAATGCGTTCTTTATTGAAAAAACTCAGATCTCATATAAGATATCTGACTGGGGAAGTATGAAGAAGAGTGTGTCTCTACCAATTAACTGATTACCAAGTCTGATACACTGCTGCATTGTTAAATATGCATTGATTTCATTGGGTAGTGCTCCTTTGAGCTGGTCAAAGCTTGGCTTTGGCGAGGCATGGTTCTGTCAAAAAAGTATCCATATGTCGGCAACCATTGCATAGAAGAATTTGAAATTTTACATGCAAGCGGTCGGTTTTGCAGTGCGTAAAATGAGTTAAGCACTGTTTTTCAAAATCGTTAAACTGTGTCAGAATGGCGCGAAAAAGACAGACATTGCCAGACAGATTATTGCCCCAAAAGGAACGGTCCGCACAGTTTCACAGAGTAATGCCCAGGCTTATGTACCAACACAGACACCACGTCCAATGTATCAATATCTTACCACCAGAATACAGGACTCAATGTCCTTCAGGATATGCTGCTGCAATTAAACCAAAACCACCCAGTCCGTTTTAAACGAGGGGCAAATTGTCACCAAAACGCGTTTTTCAAGGCTCTTAGCGAACACCAAACTGGTTTAAGCAGATTGGGATACCAGCCCACCTCTGAGGAGGCCACTGTAAACAGCAAAACAGCGTAGTCTGTTTCTCTAATGAATTGGGGACCATGACCGTTTCTGGGTAGAACACTGAAACCGCGTTGTTTTCTTTATTGAGGTCAGATTTCACCTGTACCGCTAAATTGGTCAAAAAAGAGTTTACGGACATCTTCAAGAGGCCTACGACAAGATGTGTGCCCCTTCTGAAGTGACTAGGGCCATTGACAGCGTCAATATTTGGAGTTGATACCACATTGGTGCCAAAACACCAATGGAAGTCATCGATTAAAACCTGAACCAGATCAAATAAAGGAATAATCTGGGAACCACTTGACTATCATTTGATAGGGGCACCTTAGGAACAGTTTTAGGTTGCACGATCAGATTGCTGGTTCACACAGAGCACTTTTAATAGCAGATAACTTACAGAACCAAGGGAATGAGCAGCTACCTTGGTCATCAAAATCGCCATATTTGAACCACTTTAACAATATGTGGTTAGGTCAATAGTCGCCAAATCAACGGCCTGCATGTCCTACAACAAAACTGAACCAAATTGGACAAGCTTTAACCGTTGCCTGGAATTTTATTCCAGATTAAATTCTAAAAAAACTATCGCAAGAAATGCCTTGCCTCTTGAAAGCTCTGGTAGCAGAAAGATAAGGTCAGGCATAGCGGCGACCGTTACTGTGACTAGACACTGACATGAAGGTCCTTTGTGGGTCGTGTAACTCTTTTAAAGACGATAATTTGGAAAATATGGAGATCCAAAATATCGCTTTCAATGGTTGTCGTATGACTTAAAATTGGCAATGTATTTTTGTTTCCTTCATTTGCGAAGTCAATTAAAGAACTGATGTCACAATGACATGGAACAGTTTATCAGAAGTTATTAAAACACGATTTTGATCCTTATTTTCATTTATCAGTCGGCAAAATAGGAAAAAAACTGATGAATTATGATTTGGAAAAAATATTCCATATTAAATGTCAAGTCTGTATATGGATTGCACAGACTGTGGAAGGGGAAACTGAAACGCAGGTAAATTCTCTCGAATTCTGGAAAGTATATTAAGTTGATGTATAGCATGAATGTCTGTTTCATGACACTGAGTAGTTTACTTGAATATCATCCTTCTTCATTAATATCGTATTTCATTCTCATGCAGATCAAAGTAATTTACTATTGGATACCACCAGTATTGTTCAATGCCCTTTTGAAATAGACAAGCCGCTTTTGATGAAAAGCCCCCATATCTCTGTTTCAGTCTGTCTCGGAGAGTTTTTCTATCATGATATACCGGTGTACTATGAAAATCTGACTCCCCTAAAATATGACTCCCCAGTCAGATTTTCATCATGGAAATAGCAAATGTAAGTAAATGACTATGGTCTTGTAGGATACTTCATGGAGGACACATTGGTACTTTTTGTTAGTTTGCAGGTGAAAATGTCCATGAAAAAAAAATAAAGATTTGTATTTTACTACCCAAGGACTCCCCTATGAAAAAGCTATTTATTTGACATTTGATGACCATTTCAACATCTTTCCTTTTATGATACTTTATGAAGTTTATTTAAGTTTATTTTGGAAGTACTTGAAATTTTGATGGTAAAAAATTGGGTGAAAAAAAAACACATGAAAAATAAGAAAAATTAAGGATTTGTATTCTAACACCCAATGACTCCCCTACGAAAAAACTTTTTTATTTGATATTTGATGTTCATTCTGACATCTTTTCTTTTAGGATACTCTATGAAGAATATATTGGAAATATTTGAAAGTTTGAATGGTAAAATATTGGGTGAAAATAAATGAAAAAAAAATATATATGAAAATCTTCATTTTCATATGCATGGGATTTGGACTCCTATGGACTCCCATTAGGGAAAGGCCCCATTTTATATTTGCTGTTGTTTTCCCCATTTTTCCCCAAAGCTGAATGAAAAATAGGGATTGATGATTTTAAATGGATAATAAATTTGCATTCTGGTACCCGTAGGACTTTGACTCCCCTCGTCTTTCAAATATTTCCAATATAATCTGCAAAAAGTAAAAGTTATGGAAATGTGTTGAAATGATCATCAAATATTAAATAGATAGCTTTTTCATAGGGGAGTTATTGGGTGATAAACTGCACATCTTTTTTCTTATTTTTAATATTTCTTAGTTTTTTCATCCAATATTTTACCATCAAACTTTAAAATATTTCCAATATAATCTTCATAAAGTAAATTTAAAGGAAAGATGTTGAAATGATCATCCAATATCAAATAAATATCTTTTTCATAAGGGAGACAATGGGCGGTTAAGTGCACATTTTTAATTTTCTTATTTTTTCATGAAAATTTTCACCTGCAAACTAAAAAATGTGTCAATGTATCCTCCATTTTACATACTTCAAGATCACAGTCATATACTCAAGTGAAATAAGATTTATGAAGTTTTGTGGAGGGGGAGTCAACTTTTGATGGGGGGGGGGGGGATTTTCATGTTACACCGGTATCTTCAAATGTGAAGGTTATCAAACTTTGTAAAACTTCAGGTAAAAGTAGGAAAGTTGAATTAATGTTCTTCTGAAGTTTCAAAATGTTCCACACCTGTGAAACCTCTGTGGACTCAACAAAATTGTTTCATTTCACTAGGGACAGACACGTGCCGATAGCAAGCCAAACTCAAAAGTAAATCATGACAGTACAAGTCGCATTGCTTACCGAATTTCATATAATTAACGTTATCATTTTGTCTCACATAATTCCAAATTTTAAAATATCTCGCGAAATAAAAAGAAAAAAGTTGCATAAGTATCTGAATTACATATAAACAGCATTATCATTTCGTCTCACATAATGATAAAGGTACATTTCTAATTTCAATAAAGGGAGGAAGACGTGATGTTTTTTAGAGCTACTGCAGATCAGAATCGAACTCCTGGCGATCAATCTTGCCGTCATCATTGGCGTCCATTTCCTTAAACGCAGCGTTAATATCTGGGTAACCCTGTAGGGCACTGCTGAACTCATCCATGCTTATATAACCATCTCTGAAACATAACAGAATGATCCTATTAACGCTACGTGCATTAGCCTTAAGGAAGTCGAGAAGGGTTTATCTTAAGTCTTTTTCTGAACGAGCGCTAGATACTAGTATTTTAGCTTTCCACATTGAGCGTTCTGTTTTCGAATATTTGCAGTTGAATAATTTGGTTATTATGAAAGTGAATCACACTGGACACTCACTTACATGTAACTGATGCATATACACTCACTAACGCCATATTTTATGTGGGCGCATGTGAACTCCAAGAAAATTCTGCCCAAACAGAAGGAAGCAAACTCGTGAACGCGAGTGAAGCACCATGTTTTACCAAAAAGTTGGGAGAACTTCTTGGTTAAATTTTATGAACCTGGGGACAGACTCTAAAACGTCCATTGTCTGAGAGCCTTTTGTCTGAATAATTTGCCCTAGCTAACGTTTAATGAAGTTCGTATATATCAAAAGAGTTGTAACCTAAATTCGTATTAGGCTGGTGTAATTCTTACGTACATCTGTATGCCCCAGTATGTGTCTATGACCCCGTTCCCATACCTAGGTCGATCTAGCAGGATCAATCTATCTCTGAAAGTTTTCTCGCTAAACTGTATCAGGCTTAAACGGCTCTGATGTCTGACACGTCTACTAAAGCTGTAAGGGGGTGATGAACTATCGTTTAGCAGCTTCGGCATTTTAACGAGAATCCCCTTGGAGATGGGTCGATACTAAAAGATCTCGATATTGGGATGGGGTCTATGTGAACGTGTGTGGTTGGGCTGGCATGCAAGCTTGACGGTGTTGGTTGAGTGTATCTGAACGTTCGTGTTCATGTCCATTAGTGAGGTGGTGTGTGTGTGTGTGTGTGTGTTTGTGTGTGAGTGGGTTCGTGTGTATAGTGAGTACAATCATCTAAAATTCAAACTCACCCATCTATATCAAGCTCGGCGAACATTTCATCTGGACCCCAGTTTTCGCCCTGATCATCCTGGTCTTCATCACCCTGGTCTTCATCTTCCTGGCCCTCAACATCCTCAGCATCCCTTCTCCTTTTGTTCATACATCGGCAACTGTACTCCGGCCTTCTCAGCCAGCCTCTATTTCTAACGCTGTACAAATAAAGCGACGATCCCGTGTTTATTATATAGATTTTGACAAGGATCCTTTCTTCCTGGTGACAGGTGGATGATGACGCCACTTTTAAGTAATTAAAATTTTAAAATTAATTTTAATTAAAATTACTAATCTATTTACTTTCTTTTTTAATATTGAGTAGTGTTCGTTTATTTAATAATTTATTGTTTTTCTATGATTATTATACTACGATGGTTTCATGAACACATTTCTTTTTTCTGGACAGAAATGTCAGCAGAATACCCTAGCAGGTATATATATATATATATATATATATATATATATATATATATATATATATGTAAACATCTGGTGAAAAATTGTATCTAAATATTTAGCTTTTAAGATGTACAGACGTACTTCTTAAAAATCATTCGAACCCATTCGTTGTCTTCAAGAGAGAGAGAGAGAGAGAGAGAGAGAGAGAGAGAGAGAGAGATTTAAACATACGTGATGTCAGGGTTGCAGTCCTCTCTACATGCAGAGGCACAAGCGCAGCCGAATATGTTGCACTTTCCGTATGAACAGTAAGGGGTTTTCTGTAAAGTAAAACGTGAAACTGTATAATCACTCTAGCTCTCTCTCTCTCTGTTTCGTAGACACACTTGCACCTACACACGATCGCGCTCTCACCCTCGCACACACATACACACAAACACACGCAGTGTGAGAAAAAAGAAAAATAGTTCATAACGCTCACTGACATAAAATTGACTTCTGGGTTTAGGTCCCCTTGCAAACCTGTACATTGTGAAACTAAAATATTCAGAACCGTAGTTTTCTGTCTTCCGAAGCTCTTTATCTAGCTCTGTAATAGTAGGCCCTACCCTAGTGCAATCAAGGCAAAACTTTGTTTTGCTTTCTCGACAGCAGATTGCGGCTGTTTGCTGCACTGTGGCTGCCAGGCAAGTCACAACCAACGCAAACACTGGAAGGGCAGTCATCATCTGAAATATGAAATATCAACATCTGGTTGGCGAAAAGACAAACTGAGTTTCAAGGGACATTTGGGATTCGCCTTGACTGTCAGAGGCACGCTGGTAGCATAGGGCTAATTATGTTCCCATTGTCCGCTGAATCTCAATGCGCAAAAAGGCGAAAATCACCGCGAAAATTTGTCTCATTTAACGTACATTTACGGTTGTTCTCAATCTATTCTAGAATATTCGGTGTATTTTTTACAGTTCTAATGTTCGTCTGTAATGAATGTAACAGTTCGAGAATTGTTTTTGGGAAGTACTTCAGAATGTCTTAGAACAGATTAAGAAACTTTTTATCAAAAGCAAAAAAAAAAAAAATATATATATATATATATGTTCTAAGACAGACTGAGAACTGTTAGTGAGCGTTAAATGAGACAAATTTTCGCAGGGGAGGCCTTTTGCAGCTTTAGATACCACCCATTTTGGCAACCTCTTCAGTAAAGGAAGAAGTCAACATGGTTGTGTCTACCTGGAGCTGCAAAAGGCCCCTTGTGTCATAAGTGTTTGCTATTATACTATATAGCATTCCTAGAAACTACCTTCAACAAAGATTACCTGAGAACTCCGTTTCCTTTCACACACATATAACAAATAATGCCGTACCCACAGTTTGAATAATATATACAGTTACCGACTACGATAGCACCTTTTGAAATACCGAAAACACTGTGTAATAGTGAGATGAAAGCATGTTACGCTGTCATTAAAGTTATGTCTGGGCTTTTTTTTTTTTTTTTTTTTTTTTTTACAAAACTATACGTACAGCTGCGACTGAATAACAAGGTCAACCCTTAGAAAAGAGATACATTGAAAGTTTAAAGTGACAACAACTCTTCACATAAAATTGGAAATTTTACAATAACTACATGTACACACATACATTGCAAACAGCACAAAGAAATAAAATATATTCAATTTTAGCACCAAAATGGCGGATATTGCAATTATTTTGAAATCCGTGTTTACAATTGGGCCACGTCGACCTTGACAGATAGCTAGACTTCATAATAATCTCTTTAAGGTTCTACTAAAACCAGTGTGGCGTACAAATAGGGATAACGAGGCTTTTTGGTAGTTGCGCTAAAACTTGCTTCCCATACCTAGATCGATCTAACAAGATCGATCCATCTCAAAGGGGATTTTCGCTAAATTGCTTTCAGCTTAAGCGGCTTAGATGCCTGGCACTCCTACTGAAGCTGTTAAACAATAATTAATTTCTCCCTAGGAGCTTCAATGAGCGTGACAGACATCGCGACATTCCGTTGAAGATAGATCGATCCACAGTTAGCACGCTGGATCCGTAGAAACTAGTACCGGGAAAATACCTGGTGTATAATCAAATTGAAGATGATGCTAATGTTTTGTGTGAAATGTGCACAATTCTGCTTCTTTAGTAAAGCCCACATAACTTTTAAACAAAGTTTACAAAGTTTGACAACCTTCTCATTTTACCCAGTTTTGTCGTTTGCCATTGGTGTTCATGTTGTCAAACGCCTCTCTGAACTATTTGTTTAGTCCTGTTCATGTATTTTGAAAGGGCAGTGTTTAATTCATTCCAGCTACGATAGCCATCATTAAAACGAAAAAAAAAAAAATGCTACACCGTTATAATCAATAATATAAGCAGTAGTGTGGGTGATAGACATGATAGCAAGTAAGACCCCATTTCCAGAGATTAGATCGATCTACTTTAGATCGACCTAACTCCCTGGGGGTTTACGGTAAATAGCTGTCAGCCGAGCGGACATGAAAGTTAATTACCCCCTTACAGCTTGTACTAGGCGGGACGGACATTTAAGCCGGATTATCTGACAGTAATCTAGTGAGACTCCCCGTGGGGATAGATCGATCTAAAAGCTCTGGGAATACAGCCTAAGACTGCGTTTAGTTCCTGGACACTTGTGAAGATAACCACGACTGAGTACACAAGACACCAGGTACCACATTTATTCTTTCTTTCTTTATTTTTATACAACATTAAATTTGGAGAGAGAGAGAGAAACAGAAAAAAATGAGAGAACGAGACAGAGAGAGAAGGGGATTGAGTTTGTCCTACGTAGTAATCGGGCCGTAACTTTTTCTATAACCGTATTTACATGCACAACCAAAGAATCTTAAATCTACATTATATGATAAGCAATATTATGTAGTGGCAGATTAAGGGGGTGTCAGGGGGATCCTCACCTTTCCCCTTCAATTTCTATAAAAATACACTAATGGCGCCTTTTGAAATTACAAGTTTGACTAACCGAATCATAATTCTGAACCCCATCAAATATCACTGTTCGCACTCTAAATTACCAAACTTTTTGGGGCCCTTCAGCAGGCCTCTAACCCAAGCTAAGGAGGGGGTAGGGTCGGCGTCTCCTCTGCGGATCACCCCCCTGCCCCTTCAATTAATCCTGGATCCGCCCTTGTCATGCATTCTTATATGGAGCTACATTTGGCTTTGAATGCGTGAAACAGTTGGCAATTTCGGTAAAATGTTCTACCAACTTTGATATACTTGATCTAAAGTTTATAAAGTTTTAATGACCTTCGCATGCACATTGACATATTTCAGCATCTATGATGAAAAACGTACCTTGAGCAATTTTTCCCCAGGAGACACTAAAACACCTAGGCTAGGCATATAGCGATCGCAGAGTTATTCTGATTAGACAGTAGCTGGTCTGTTTCTAAACTTTTTGACACTGTTTTACACACGTTTAACACCGTGAATAAAATTAAATTTGTAAATAATTTTGATCAGCACGAGAGACAATTGTACAGTAAATGGAGATGTGAGATTGACAATAGTTTAATGAAAGGTGATCTATTTTATGAGTATTTCTTTTTCAAATAAAAAATCTATACGTTTATAAACCTTTCAAGACTACCGGTATGAGATCATATACCTCTGATACCTGTGTAGTGAGAGAGAGAAAGAGAGAGAGAGAGAGAGAGAGAGAGAAGGGGGGGGTATCTTGATTGCGCAGGTTTCATTTGATACAAGTCAGGGGCGGATCCAGAGATATTTTCTGGCAGTCTTCCAAATTACCTTTGTTGATCCATCCACCATTTTTGACCGTCTTCCGACAGAAAAAAATTAGACACCCGTCAATGTAAAAATCTGGCCGTCTTCCGGAAGACCCCACCCTGAGCTTCAGAGATAACTTGACACTAACCTCTTCACTATAGCCTATCTTCATCGTGTCAAGTTACCTCTGACCACATTCGATTGCCCCCGCCGCCCGCCAATCAAATTTAAAGCCCGCACTCAATGACTCATTGAACGATCTAGCCAATGAACGCGAACGAGTCAAAGCGCGCTTTGTTCAAATCCGGACCAATCAAAGATAAGGCTGAATATCAGGGACTTGCCGTAACCTGTGGGCAGCACGCAAAATACATCATCCCTCAGTAGATAATTATGCAGGGCATCAAACTGCTCTGGTTTCAATTCCGATATACTCCATGCTTTCTTTGTGTGCGGTAATGCACTCGGAACTACTCGGATGTCTCCGCACTCGACAATAACTATGTTGTTAGTATGGAGCTTGCGGAATCAGCCGAGGATTGCCGATTGACGGTCAACCAATCAGCGTTTTTACCAAACTTTGGTGAAAAATTTTGAAACATGGATTCGATTGGCTTATATAAACTAGGTCAAACTATTTTCGTCAGAGGTAACTTGACACGATGAAGATAGGCTATAGCGAAGAGGTTAGTGTCAAGTTATCTCTGAAGCTCAGGGTGGAATACCCAGAAGACCGCCTAAATCCGTCCCAGCAAGTAGTCCTGTGATATACGAGAACAACTAATTTTTGTAAGTAGTTCATCTTACTTTAAATTTTCACACTTTTTCCCTAAGAATATATTTCAATTATTCACACGATTCTCCATTCATTCTGCATTGGATTCCCGTATACAGTAGATCAAAGTAGTTTCTGAATCAAAAGGTGTCATCAGTATCGTAATGTGCCTTTTCAACGACAGATGCCTGAAACGCTTTTGTAGTAAAACCCTCATATGTCTAGGCATTCAGTCCGTCAGTATAATTTTTTGTTTGGGTGGATATATGAATGTGAAGGTTGTCAAACTTTGTCAATTGTGCTTAAAAGTTATACAAATTGTGTTGGCTTTCTACTAAAAAAGGAGAATTGTTCACATTTCACACAAAAGATAACATCATCTTCAGTTTGATTTTAACACCACGCGTTTACTAGTTTCTTAGAGCAACCGCCCGGTCATGACAGTAATTATAAACCTTTCTTCCACTTATTTGGCGTTTTTGCTTTTGTGGCGCAATCTGTTTTAATAATAATAATAATAATTGTTGCGGACGAGACGGTGATAGAAGCAACAAGAACGAAGAAAATAAATAAATAAATAATTTAATAGCGAATAAATGGTTACAAAAATTGAATGAAAATAAAATTAAACCAAATCGAAATGGATCACTGTCGGTTGGACTGCTATCGAGAGATACCATTGTCGTAAGCCGCCGGGATGACTGCTGGGTCGTGGGCAGATGAGTGGCGCAGGAGTCGAGTAGACCGATATCGAGCCGCCGGGGTGACCGTCGAGTCTTGGGCAGATGAGTGGCGCAGGAGTAGACCGCTGTCGAGCCGCCGGGATGACCGCGGAGTCGTGGGCCGGTGCGAGGTGCTGGAGAGAACCGCTGCTGTCGAGCCGCCGGGGTGACCGCGGAGTCGTAGGCCGGTGCGAGGCGCTG